ACAAGCAGCCAGCAGCTCCTCCCACAACCTCTGGGAATTTGAAATGCTCTGTCTTACATATTGGCAAAAAAATATCAGAAAATAAAATACTAGCTAAATAATCAAGATCTTGTTGAGGATCCAAACTTTGTCAGTACTCATCTCTAATGATCTAAGTGCTAGAGCCCACTGTAACTACATAGCCAAAAAGGCGTTAAGAGTTGCTAACCTTATACTACGTAGCTTCTTCTCTGGTAATATCACACTACTAACTAGAGCATACAAAATATTTGCTAGACCTATACTTGAATACAGCTGATCAATCTGGAACCTATATCATGTATCTGATATTAACACAATTGAAAAAGTCCAGAAATACTTCACATGAAGAGTTCTCCGCTCCTCTACTCATTGCAGAATACCTTATGCCACCAGACTTGAAACTCTAGACCTAGAAAACCTAGAACTACGCCGCCTCCAGTTCAATCTAAATATATTATATAAAATCATACATTGCAATGTCCTTCCTACAAATGAATACTTCAGCTTCAATCATAAAAATACAAGAGCACACAATAGATACAAACTCAAGGTTAACCGCACCAAACTTGACTGCAGAAAGTATGACTTCAGCAACAGAATGATCAATGTCTGGAATACTCTACCTGACTCTGTGGTTTCTTCCCCAAACCCCAAAAACTTTAACCTTAGACTGTCTACTATTGACCTCACCCCCTTCCCAAGAGGTCTGTAGGGAGCAGGCATAAGTGCACCAATCGTGCCTACCATCCCTGTCCTATTGTTTCTTTTTATTTTTGTTATAAGTATCTATCTCATGTATCCAAAACTATGTTTATTTTTATACCTGTATCTTGTAAGCGATTGACAAATCAAAATAAATAAATAAAATAAATTAATTAATTAGATCATAGAATCTGGTTTTCATATCTTCTTTTAGTTGCTTCAAGTAGCAGCAAAAGACGTCCAAATCTTCTGCTTGGAGTTGATGTTCATTACCAAGGCTTGGGAACTGATACAGCTCCTGGCGACTCATATCACTTGCAAGGAGGTCCAATTTGGAAATAAATGAGCAGATTATTCCTTTGGCCTTAAGAAAATTGATTTTATCTCCTTGCAACTTTACATTCACTTCATTCAGCTTGTCAAAAACATCAGCGAGATAAGCTACATCCAGACGTCGAAGTTTAAGAGAACTGCTTACACTTGGATCAATGGATTCAAGAAATTCGACAACTGTGTCAAAAAGTTAATGGAATCGCTGCAAACATTTTCCTTTTGAAAGCCGCCTTACTTCGGTGTGCAAAAGGAGACGTTCAAACTCCTTATCATTTTCTTCACAAAGCTTGTGAAAAAGTCGGTTGTTCAACTTCAAGGCATTCGACTTAATTTTATTTACAGTGTTAATGACGTAACTTATAGACTCGTGCAAACGGTCATTCAAATTTTTTGAGAGAAGGTGCTATCTATGAACGACACAATGGACAGTCATAACTCCAGGTACAACCAATTTTAGGTGAGCTTGAAATCTGCGATATCGTCCAACCATAGATACAGCTCTGTCGGTTGCAAATGCCACTATATTTTTCTCATTAAAAAAACTCTTCAACCTTTTTAAATATCAAAGAACCTTTTGTGTCAGGGGCTAAATTTCAAGCAAATAACAGTTCTTCCCTGATCTCTTCATTTCCATTGATGAAACGGACATAAGCCAATAACAAGGCTTCATTTTCATGAATCATTGACTCATCAATCTGCATCACGAATTCTGTACTTTTCAAAGAGTCAATAAGCCTTTCTTCTACATCAGCAGCCATTTCATCAATTCCTTTTGATACGGTGTCATTGCTCAAAGGAATTGATTGCGTGACAGGGCTTGCACTGGGCCCCAACATGGTGGCAACAATCTGTTTCACTGCTGGTAAAATCCGTGTTTCTCCGATAGTGTGAGGTTTGCCACATTTTGCTATCAATAATGATACTTCATAGGAACAAATGAGCCCCTTATCGGCATTGAGTGACGATTTTCCAAATAACTTCTCAACAGTACTGTGACCCTCAAACTTGGCCTTTAAGGATTGGAAAAATGATACCGGTTTGTCAGCTTTTCTCCGAATGAATTCTTACCAAATAGTCTTTCAGTTGGGAAGGCTTCATCGCTTCATTTGAAAATGTTTTCTCACAAAGAAGACAAAACAGAAGCTGTATGTTGGAAGGAGTTGGAATGAATCCCAATTTTAGGTAGTCTGTCAAATATTGGCGACACTTCCTCTTCTTGGCCATGTTGAGAGGTCTTCAAAATGAAAGGCACTAACTGCAAATTAAATTTTCGACTGCACTGGAACACTATAAAACACATGTGGATGTCGATAAACCTAGTTTCAACAGTTACATTGACATCACAGAGGACAGCCACTCAGCATGCAATGTTTTGAAAGAAGCGCTCACCCCTCCATCACTGCCCATTCTGGCCAATGGCACGCCACTGTATGTACGGCATTCTGTACTGAAGCTAGCTGGAGGAACATTTTAAAACATAGTTCAATCCACTAATAGTGAGTGATCTGATGTTTTTGTATGAGAGATATATATCAGTTCACTGTACAAAAAAGTCTCAAAAGTGTCCCCAAAACTTCTCACTCCACCACCCCAATATTTCCCCCCCTTCTGTTCCTTCACCCCTGCATCACCCCTTTTCATTCCATTGCCCCCCTGAAAAACAAAATCGCCCCGGGGGGCAATATCGCCCAGTTTAAGAATCACTGGTCTAGACTTCCACCCTGCCTGCCTCATCTATTTCCACATGTAACAACAGTCTTATTAAGACATAATATAATGATCACTTACTTTGCCTTAATTTCATTTAAGTTCTACTACTTCACTCTGTGAAGCTATCCAGTTAATTTTATTTATTTACTTATTTATTATTTTTGTCAATTGCTTACAAAATAATAGGAATAAGTAAAAACATAGTTATGAGTACATGGATACATATAAGAAAAAAAAAAAAAAGAAACAGTAGGACAGGGATGGTAGGCATGTTGGTGCACTTATGCACGCCCTACAGACCTCTTAGGAATGGGGGTGAGGTCAATAGTAGACAGTCTAGTTATTGTTTGTTCTTGTGTTGTTATGGTTGAAGCTGAAGTATTCATTAACAGGTAGGAAAGAATTCTCCACTCCTCTACTCGTTGCAGAATACCTTATGCCACCAGACTCAAAATTCTAGACCTAGAAAACTTAGAACTATGCCGCCTTTGGTCCGATCTAAGTATAGTATATAAAATCATACATTGCAGTGTCCTATCTGTCAATGAATACTTCGGCTTCAACCATAACAATACAAGAACAAACAATAGATATAAACTCAAGGTTAACCGCACCAAACTTGACTGCAGGAAATACGACTTCAGCAACAGAGTGGTCAATGCTTAGAATACTCTACCTGACTCTGTGGTTTCTTCCCCAAACCCCAAAAACTTTAACCTTAGAGTGTCTACTATTGACCTCACCCCTTTCCTAAGAGGTCTGTTGGGGGCATGCATAAGTGGACCAACATGCCTACCATCCCTGTCCTATTGTTTCTTTTATTTTTTATTTTTCTCATATGTATACATGTATCCATAACTATGTTTTTACTTATACCTGAAAGGTGGACAGCTTTGTGGAGGAGCCCCAGAAAACAACTGATGTTTCCAATCACCTCCTGGAAACAAATAGCTTTGAAGGATTGTCTGTGAAGGGACAAAGAAAAAAGAAATCAAATTCCAGGACGGTTTCTAGTTATTGATAAATATCCAATCAGCTGCTTTCTTGATAAACCTGAATGGGGAAAAGAAGGAAGAGACAGCACTCTGCAGCAGAGAGTTTATCCAAGCCTTTGAAGCAGCGGAAAATGGAAGATTATTTTGCAAACAAATGGTCTGTTCCAGTGAATAACTCATTCACAGACACCTTGTCAGACAAACTTAATTTATGTGATTCATTGGAATGCGACTTACAAACCGAACTGGAAGATAAGCAGTGTGTAGAGCTGTCCTCCTCCCTCTTGGAGGGTGGCTCCTGTTCTTGGAGCCCAGTAGCAGCCTTCTTTGCTCAAGGGGGAGATGTAACAAATTTAAAGAAGGAAAATGTGACAGACTTCCTCTCTAGACAATGTTTGCTTACAGCTCAAACTGTAAACTCAATATATATTTTGTCAACTGTCATAAATAAGGTGGATTGCCTGAAAGAATCTTTTGCAATGTTTCTTAGGAGCCGCTCAAATAGAAGGACTTGGGAGGATAACCATGGATAGATATGGGATGGCTAACTCAGAAAATGAAACTAGTGGAGGACCTCGTTTTCCTCCCCCAAAATTGAACACATATAGAGAAAACACTCAATCAGGTAAAGGCCTAAGAGATGACCAACATAACTACAGACTGCAAACTAAGCAGGTTACCTTGCAAATTTATGACAAGAGAGTAAATAGAGGAGGTTGGAGTAATAGAAAAGCTATTAGGCTGTCCCTAAGGCAGCTGCTCTGTTGTGAACTCACTTTGATAGATCTACTACATGCAGAGTGGCTGCCAGCAAGAATGCAATGTATGAGAATTCTCCTATTGTTCAAGCAACCCATAATACCCTCCATGCTTTTCAGAATGAAGCCCTTTCTCAATATTTCCAATAAAGGTTTTTTGCTCAGAAAAAGTGTACCCCCTCCTGAAACAGCATCACCAAGTGGGAACTGTTGCTTTAAATCTGGGTTGCAACAGCTCTCACATTGCTAAACCTGAGGCTGCTGCAACTGAACTGACCCCGAGAAGGCAAAGAAGCAATATACAAACTGTGTTACCCACAGCTGTAGCAACTGCTGAGGATGTGCCAGAAGAAACGTCGATTGACTTATTCAGTGCATTGTCAGAACCTGAGCAAGTTAACATCATTCAAAGATTGGATAACCTAAAAGAGGCACTGACAACAACTCAATCTACAGCAAAGCCTCTATTTAATTTAGCTCCACTAACCACAGAATCTTTTGACAATGCATTTAATCAACAAACTGCCTCTGCCTTAACAGTAAAAGAAGGTACTGTCACACAGGCTGATTGTGGGTAACTGCACTGACTGACCCAACCTCTGAGAAACAACTGAAAGACAAAGGGCTTCATCACACAGTGCCCCCTAAGCTGACAAACACTAAGGAGATAATCCAGCTTCCATCTTCAATTGATTTAGAAGCTCCCATAACAGCTTTGTACAAGATGAATCCTCAGCTATGCCACTCCAAAAAATGGACATAAATCTACGTTTATAGATTTAAACCAGAGTACCTGCCCATTGGGGAAAAAATCATTCTTGGAGCAAGATCAAAGGCATACTAGCAACCGAGATATAGAGGAGCAACAACAAGTTCTGCAACCCATGAGGAGAAATATTGACCCAGACAATAATTGTGTTTATATGGGAAGCTTAGATGATATTGATCTGGCTCCAATGTCAAGTTGACATCTGACATCTTTACCATCCAGCCAATTAACCAAGCCAGATCAACTTGCTTCTGAGAACCCTATACAGTTGGTGACCTGGAACATAGCGGGCTGGAAAGGGATAGTTGGTAGTGGACTAATGAGATTTTCTCTAGATTTGACGTAATAGCCCTTCAAGAAACTTGGCAAACTGAAGTGGGTGAACCAGTACAACTGCCAGGCTTTCAGGGATGGGCCTCCCCAGCCCAAAAAATAAAGAACAAAGGGAGACCCTCTGATGGACTATGCATTCTTATAAAGCAAGAGTTGCAATGGCAGGGAGAGAAATTATATAACAAAGATAAGTATCCGCACTTTCTAGCTGCCAAATTTGAATATGACCAGTTTGAGTTAATATTGGTAAATGTGTATTCCCCCAAGCACATCCCAGCACTATAATTCCGAATATTGGATGTGCTTGGAAAGTATCCTAGAAGATATAGCAGTACTGTATCCTCAGTCCATAGCGGTTTTATTAGGAGATCTGAACGCTAGACTGGGCCCCTCTTTGTATGAGCTTGCCCAGAAGAAGGGAATCCCAGGGGAGTTCTTTGAAAACCATCCTCAGTGGCTCTCGAGAGATTGTAAAAGTAATGCCGCTGTTTTGCTCCTAGTCTCCTTAATTTTTAAGGGTAATCTCCAAATTTTGGGAGTTAAGGATAAGAATTACATATACCCTTATACACATCACTCAACTAATTCAAATAATGTACTGGATCTCTTTTGTGTGTCTAGAGATAAGGCTGACCTCTTCTTGGAGGTCACAGTACACCTTAGCGACAATAGCGACCATCAGCCTATAAGTGTGACATTGTGAGGCCGCTCAGATTTAAGACCATATAACGTGGCTGACAGATGGCTTACTAAAAAGGTAAAAGTGACTCAAAATAAAAGGTTAATTTGGGCTAAGGTTGATACTAAGGCAATATTAGAATGGCTTAAAACAAAGAATGCTATTAAGTGGGCTAGAACAATTTAGTCATTTACTATTGACTGGTTGTCAGCCTTCAATGCATTCTCCAATCTTTGTAACATATTGAAGAAACATCTAACATCTAACATGCTACAAAAAGAGCCCAAGTGGGTATACCTCACTGGTTTGATTCGGATTGCCAGCGACTGAAAAAGAAATTGAAGGCAGCCATGAGGCTTGCCCAGAGGAATCCTACTGCTTATATACAGATGTTGCACGCAAGAAGGGAATATAAAAAAACTATAACACTGAAGAAATTTTATTTTGCCATTTCAATCTAGTCAGGACTTGAGTTGGCTGCCAGAAGTCATAGCTCAGTATTATTTTGGCATTCTGCAGCAGGTATCCTGAAGGAATGGAGATTTGCGTTTGACATACCAATCTCTGCTGAGGATTGGGAGAATTATTATCAGTGCTTGTTTGCCTCTACCGAACCGGTAAAGAAATTATTTTTAAACAGTGATTTAATAAACCCTAGAACTTCCCCACCACCCTTGGCCACCAGTTTCAGAAAAGGAGATACAGTCCATCATTAAAAGTTTAAAGAGCAATAAAGCCCCAGGAGAGGATTTTCTACTAGCAGAACTATTTAAGAAATTTCCCACTTGGTGGGGCCCTGTATTAGCAGGCCTTTTTACACACATAAATAACACCTGCCATATACCAGATGGGTGGAAGATGGCAATAGTTGTCTCCATATATAAAAAAGGGAATAAAAAGGATCCTAGTAATTATAGGCCCATCAGCCTGATTGACATTGAAGCAAAAATATATGCTAGGTACCTTTTGAGCAGAATTGAAATCTACGTAGAGGAAAAAAACATCCTCACAGAAGAACAAGCAGGTTTTAGACAAGGCAGATCTACTATTGATAACTGCTTTGTCTTGAATCATCTAATTGCCAAATATGCCTATAAGAGAAGACCCCTGTTTGCTGCTTTCATAGACCTTACAGCAGCATTTGATATGGTAAATAGAGACGTACCATGGAGTAAACTGACATCTCTTAAAATAGAACCTAGACTCCTGGCTTTGATTAAAGCCCTTTATATAAGTACCTGTTTGAGGGTGCAGTATGGGGTTAACGGGGCCCTGACTAACAGGATTTGCACAAATAAAGGGATAAGCAAGGGTGTATCCTGGCCCCATTATTATTTAACTTATACATCAGTGACTTGCCAGGCTTAATGAAGGATACCATGGATACCAAGTAGATAGCTACCTGAAGTCACAACTCCCAAAACATCTTAGGGAGATATTCATGAGAGCGAGATTTGAACAGCTTGACACAATGGTTAGATACGGGAGATTTCATGCAATACCGTACAATTAGCGTCTCTGCATTTGCGGAGCGGCAGAGGACCTGACTCACATCCTATTTGACTGTTGCCTGTATAAGAGGATGAGAGACAGGTATCTTGGTCTATATATCAGATGAATGACCTATTGGGATAGCCATATCAAAATAACTTACCTTATGTCTGGCCAGAACTTGAAAATAACATTTAAAGTAGCACAGTATTTAAAGAAAATGATTCAGTTGAGATCTGCATATGTGGGATTGATTGGGGTAGATTGCAAGGGCGACTCTGAAATATAATGTTATTATATTTTATCTATATCTTAAATTATTGTACATTATTACAATTTTATTTTGGATTGTATTTTATTACTATTTCATCTTAAATCATATTTTGTCTAGATTCCATTTTAAATAGAATTTTATCAAGTTCCATTTTAAATAGTATTTTATCAAGTTCCATTATAAATAGTTATAAATAATTTCATTTTGAATTGCTTTTATTAAATTTTAGTAACAAATTGTTGCTGGAACTTTGCATTTTGATATGGCCGAAGGGCTAATCAATAAAGACTTATTACTTATACCTATTATCTTGTAAGTAATTGACAAAAATAAATAAATAAAGTTGGCAATCCAGAAGAAGATGATTTTGATATATTATATATGTGTCACTTCACCTTTTCCAGCACAGCTATAGATTTGTGAAGCAAGTTGCAAAGCCAATTCAACAGTTTATCTTCTAGTGAGAACTGGAATTTCCTTCTTTATGCCTTTTCTGTTTTAATGTGCTGTTAACAGATGGGGTCTGTGAAATAATAGACACTTTACTGTTTGCCCAACAGTCAAATTGCTTCAAAAACTGTCTGAACGATCTTAAAAAACTCTATTTCCACTGGCAGCAGTGCCTAGGCCACAGTCCTGCTGATCCATATGGATTTGCCTGTTAAGCACCGATCTAGCTCTAAGTAGTCTCAAACAGGAAATACCCAGATTGCCTGTTATTTCAGAAGGAAGAATAAAACCAGCAAATGCAATAGAGCTGGAGAAAATCAAGGAGGAAAAATCCTAGTCTAGAGCTGGTTTCAAAGCAATAGAATGACCTTGCACTTGAACATTCTTTATGGACAGTCAATAAATAATAAGGCGTTTACACTCACCTGTTTTTAGGGCAGGGAAGAGCGAACATTGCAGCTCTTTAGTGAAATAGTATATTCAGTCTATAATTTATATCTTGCTTTTCTACAATAATTAATTACTAGATTAATCATACAGCTGCACTTTGGAGGGAAAGTGCAATTAGGGTGGTACTTTACAGATAATAATATGAGATGATTAAAAACATTAATTGCTGTCTCAAATTTTCAGAAAGATGTGGCCATGGATCAAAAAGCCTTCCAAAACCCAGGACTCTATCAAACATGTTATCAATATATTAAACACTAACAATAAAACTCGTTGCAATAGCAGTATCTCTAGTTCCTATGGGAATCAGAGTGTACCAGGAATATTTCCAGCTTCTCTGGAGATGACAAGCATTGTACTTGGGAAACCTTCTGTTCATCAGCTCCAAGCCCTATCCCTGGATTAGGGCTTCTTTTCATTTTGTGCAATGGATGTCTAGATAACATCAGAAGGAACCCCCAAGACTATGTCTGAGACTGTTCTGCAGCCTGCCAGCTTTCATATATTTAAACTGATGAGACTCTCAAGGAGTAATATGGGATTCATTTATTTGGGGAATATTTAAAGCTTTGTACGAATAAATGAAAATATTACAGAAAAGCTGAGTTATAACTGCATAGAAAGAAGGCTGACAAATTTTGCCAGCTCATTTGCATCAAATTATATTGAACAGAACCCCAGGGCAAACTCCCTAAGTAGTTTGTCACTATGCAACTATACTCATACAGAAGAAATATAGCTCTGCAATGCCATTTTAAAATATAAAATCCATTATTCATTATTTAAAAAGACAGGTTTAGATGCATAAGGAGAAATAACAAGCCGTCACCTAGCTATGTGTGGATAATACATATGCTTTACTGGGCTACTTTTCTACTAGGGAAAATTTAATATCAAAAGTTTACCCTGACAACTTGTAGAAAATCTTTACCTTGCTTAAAGCAAACAAACCAGAAAAATATTTTCTATGAAGAAGGTTGTATTTTTAAATGCATGTGATAAAACACAGCTGAAATGATGACACAACTGGAACACAGGGCAGTCACAGAGCACAGTATGACTTATTATAATATATGTGTAAATACACACACCCCCACCTCTCTTCTACAATTTAATATACCCTGTATTGTCTCCTGAATCACTGGCCCATGTAGACAATAAAAATTAAAAACGAAACAAGCAAGAGTAGATATTTGGTAGCATAAATAAATATTATTCTGTTACACCCAATCACAATGTACTGGAATTGGTCAATTCAGTTTAGCTAACGACAGCATAGATAGGCTTATCATTCATCTTTAGTTGAAGAAAAGAGGGTATTGGTTCTAAGATGGCCAATCACTTGAGTCTGCTGGCAGAAAGTGTGCTCTTGACCTAGTCCTAGGCAGTGAGACAAACTTGTTTATTTATTATTTAACCCCCCAATTGGAGGCATGGCTCTTATTTATTTCTCACCAAGCCATAGTGAAGTCTGATGTTGCTGTTTATCCAGCCTCTCTAATTTGTAAACCACTATTTATGATTTTGCATACAAACATAGAGTATATATTTAGAGAGCTTACACAGAAAAAAAGCAATTTGTAAAAGAAACACGTGTTCCACTAAGTTGTAGGTTTAAAAAAGCATCCAGTAACAAAGAATAAAATGAATAAAAGGATAAAATAAGCATCCAGTAAGAAAGAATAAAAGGAATAAAAGGATAAAATGGAAATAAATAATGTACAGATTTTCTGTTTTTTAAAAATGCCAAAGATTTGACGGATTTAGCTAATATAAACATATTAAATTTTCAGGAATTGATTTTAGGGTAAACCAGAATTCTAATTAAGTGTGTAGCAAACAACACGAAAACCAATGCATATACAAACTGCAAAATGCAGGGGTTATTATTATTATTATTAGTATTGGTATTAGTATTACTTAGGTAGCCACAACATAATATTTTGTCTTCCCATTAACTAATTTCTACTGTTAATTTCTGTCCATTTTAGATCTATTTTCCCTAGCTGTTCCCACAAAATACAAGGCAACTGTTTGTGGGTAGTAAAATATTAGGTTTCCCATATGACCTTTTATTCAATATTTTATGGAAAAATGACTTTTGGAAAATGGTGAATAAGGCAAGTAAGAAACAGAGGCATCATAAACTAAGCAATTAGTATTCTGTTGTAAATTTTCTAATTTTCAGAGCTTAGATGAAAACAATATACCTGTATTGTTTTTTTGAAAAATATAGTTTAAGATTTAAACATCTCTTTGTAATATTTTTGAATGATTTTTCATGAGGGTAAAGTATCCTAGAAAAATGAAATATTATAGGAAATATTAAAAAGGCAGAATATTGTATTTCCCTGGATGAGAAAAGGAGATGTTTTTAAAGACAAAGCAGCTTCCTGCAGTTCCCTGCTCACCAGCAGCTCCAGGGTGATGGGATTAAGACAGCCCTCAGGACATGATAGGATTAGCCCTCTACCCATCTCATCACATGGCACCTGGGAAGATTACATCACCCAGCAAGATTCAACCAAGCTATCCCTGCATGGCCTCATGGGAGTCTGACAACCAGTCAGGATACATTTCTTGCCACAGGAACAGGAAACAGGTTCAAAGTCCAGAGAGAGCCAAAACCCAGGGAGTCTCAGTATCTCTTTCCCTTTTCGCCCAGGAGCTCCAAGGCATGTGGTCCTGTCCACTATTAAAACCATCTTTCCAAGAGGTTGCCATGTTTCCAGTGTCTTTCTTCCCACCTGAAACTGAACCCAGATGGACATTTCTTCCAACAATTTAGCACCTAGCAGGTGGTAACCTGACAAATGGACCCTTGTCAGCAGCAGACCTATGTAGTCCTGGACCTTGGCCATTTGGAACAAAGGTCTTAAAGGGGTTTTGAGTGTTGAGCTCAAAGGCTGCTTGGAAAGAAGGGGAGTACTTCTGAAGTTTAATTTAATAGGCCAGAAAAGTGTGGGAAATGTGAGTATGCCTCTGTGTGTGTGTGTGTGTGTGTGTGTATCCTTCCTCTGTGTGTTCTACCAAGAGAGCTAATATCAATTATATTACTGTTAATAACAATAATAATCATGCTATTTGTTTAACCAAGTTAATGTATCTTCCTTATATCACTAATCCTTTCATATATTTCTCTTTTTCTAGCTCCTGTTTTTGTCTGCTAGCTATTGATAAAATAAGTCCCAAGTTAAAAAAAAAAAAATTAGTTTCTTTCTTTTTTTTAATTGTGTTAGCCATTGATAAATTATCCAGTTCTGCACTTTCTAATATTTTTCTAATCACATCTTCATCTGTTGGGATCTCTTCACGTTTCCATTGTGCAAATATTATTCTCGCTGCAGTCAATACATGTAAAATTATATATACATTCCCTTTGTTATACCTGTCTAGTAGCATGCCCAACAAAAATCTCTCTAGTTTCAAATCTATATGTTGTTTTATCATTTTTTTTCAAGCCATGTATGTATTTTTATGCAACATTTTTTCGCTTTTTGGCATGTCCACCACATATGATAATATGAACCAGATATCTGGTGACATTTCCAGCATTTTGCAGATTTATGTTTAAACATCTTTGCTAACTTTGAAGGCGGAAAATGCTATCTATAAAACATTTTATAAATATTTTCTTTGTATGCAGTAGACATTATTTCTATCCCATAATTTCTGCAATTGATCTAACTCAATCAAATAGCCAAAATTTTTAGAATCTTGCAACATTTCAAATTTATCCTTGCTTTTTTCCCTTGCCAAATATATTTTAATATTGTTTTATTTAATTCTTCAAAATATGTTTTCTCCAGTTTTATTGGTTTTGTCTGGGATAAATGTAGAAATTTTGACAGGATATTCATTTTTATTTGTGGCTACTCTTCCCATCAATGATAGTTGTAGATTTTTCCACTTCTCCAAATCTGTTTTAATTTGTTGTATCAATTTATAATAACTTTCTTGGCTGTCTGTATACCTATTTTCCTCATTAGTTCTTTTTTCTGTATTATTTTGTTTTTTTCTTTATTTATTTGCAGTTCTGTAACTTCACCATATTTTCCTATTTTCCTAATTAGTTTAAGTTCATTTTCTTGTTGGTCTTCCAAGATAAAGATCAAATCATCTGCAAATGTCTGTAATTTATATTGTTCCTTTTTTATTTCCATACCTTTAATTTCTATGTCTTGTTTAATGTTTCTATTTAGCACTTCCAATGTCAATATGAATAGTAAAGGAGATAATGGACATCCTTGGTTTGTGCCTTTTTATATTAAAATTCTCTGCCATATTTCCATTTATTATCACATTTGCAGTTTGTTTATGATATATTGACTTTAAGTTAATAAATCTTCCACCAAAATCCATATATTTTAATTGTAATAACATAAATTTCCAATCTACATTGTTAAATGCTTTATGCACATCTAAGAAGATCAATACTATTTGTTTCCCAAGATGTGCTTCATAGAATTCCAATGGATTTAAAATTATTTTCATATTGTTTTTAATCTGTCTCTTAGGCAAAAAGTCACTTTGATCTGAATATATAAATTCATTTAGAAATCTTTTTAGTCTCTCTGCCATTATTGAAGCATATATTTTATAGTCAGTGTTCAGTAAAGATATGGGCCTATAGTTTTTTATCTGCATTAAATCTGAGTCTTCTTTTGGAATCAAAGTAATATTTGCTTCCATCCATTAATTTGGTACCTTTCACATAAGTCAGTACTTCATTATAACTTCCAACATTGATGGGCTTAAGTATCTTGTTAAAATTTGTAAAATTCTGCCTGCAGTCCATCTGGTCCTGGTGTTTTATTATTAGTTTGTCTCTTGGTTGCTTCTGATAATTCCATCATTGATATTCATTCATTTAACATAGTTTTTACTTTTTCTGGTACTTTAGGTAATTCTGTTTTTTCCAAATATTATTTAATTTTCTCTTCTGAAATTTTTCCCTGCTCATGCAGCTTTTCATAATAATTATTTTTTTTATCCTCATTTTGGTAGTATAAAGTTCCTTACTCATCTCCTGACTTATGCACTTACCCAAAAAGGTTCTGTTTGGCATTTTCAGAGCACAGAACCTTCTATTAGGGAAATGAGAGAGTATGTGAAATGGAATGGAAAAGTGAATGACAGAATTGAACTGGGGTGACCAACCGGGAAATCACTGAGAAAAGCTCTAAAAGGAGGGGGGTCCTTACCTTTGGGAAGCAAGCAGAGGTCCCCCAGGACTTTAGTAAGTCTGAAAACTGGGGTGGGGAAAAGAAAAGGAAAATGGCCAGGGAAGCAGTGCCCATTCTTACTGTGGTGAGCAGTAGAGTCCTGCTGGACTCTTTTTTAGTCTGTAAACTGAGAGCGAAATTCCCTTGGAGGGAGTATCCTTACTTTGTAGAGGGAAGCAGAGTCCTCCTAGCCCCTTTTTGGTCTAAAAGCTGAGACGGGGGCAAGGATTTCAGTAGGAAACCCAAGATTCACCAGGATCAGGCAGAGCCGAATTGAATCCCTACATCAGAGAGGGAATATGGAATGCTCTAGTTCGAGGGTCAGGGTAGGTGGCAGTGGTTGCTCCTCCTGATTCCCCTCCTTCCTGAGCCAACATGAAGGGGGCCGTGGCTGGCACTAAACTGCCTGCAAAGGATGCCGAATCTCAAAAAAGCAGCTGGTTGTTGCACTGCAGAGAAAATGTTAGGGATACTTCAGCCACTTCTCCCTCTCCCTCTCCATCTTGGCTGCTGAAGCCATGCGAAGAAAGAAATGACAACTTTAGCAAAGGAATAAAAACTGATTTTACTGCTTCCCCTTGCTAATGCCCAGTGAGGGAGAAGTTGCTCTGCCACAAACGGGCAGAGACAGGTGGTGAGGGGTATGCCCGAGCGATGCTCCTGCACTGATAAAACCTTCCTTTCCCCTGTGGAAAGAGCAAGCTCTGCCAGTTAGCCTTTGGGGTCCCTGGGGGTGTGTTATATCAAGCAACTTCTCCCTTTCCTTCTCTTATACCTTTGCTAAAGTTGGCATTCCTTTCTTCACACAGCAGCTGAGAGGGAGAGGGAGAAGGCAGCAGCATTTCTGTGTGCTGCTGCTCCTGCTAGCTCCACAGACAATGCTAGTGGATGCTGCTGCCCCCTTCTTCCTCTCCCTCTCGGCTACTGGGTGAAGCCATGTGAAGAAGGAAACAGCAACTTTAGCAAAGGAATAAAAATTGATTTTACTGCCCAGAGAGGGTGTAGTTGCTCTGCCACAAACAGGCAGAGATGGGCGGTGAGGGGTGTGCCGAGGAATGCTCCTGCACCAATAAAACCTTCCCTTCCCCTGTGGAAAGATTGGGGTTGTTGTGTTCATAGACCGACGGCGGTCCTTACTCTGGTCCGCCGCTCAGGCGGGAGCGTCGACCGCTCCCGTTGGCTGATGCTGTTTGACAGCCGGCTATAAAAGGAGCTGTCAAACGGCATCAGCTGTTGCCGCCAGCTGACTGCCAGTTAGCCCCAGCAGCCGCAGCAACCCTTTATTCAAGCGAATAAAGCCTTTTAAAAAGTGGAGCCTGTGTCCGTTTCAGTATCTGCCACCGCTCTACAACACTGGCGACGAAGGTGGGATACAAATAAGAGACAACCAGGCAAGGACAGTTGAGCACAGTCACTGTCAAAAAGAGCTGAAGCCATCTCGAGCTGAATAACGTCACCGCCGCTGACGCTTCTCCACAAGCGCGAAGTTCAAAACTCCCCAGCTGAGGAGTCAGATGCTGCCTGATAGGCGCAGCCGCAGGCGCTTTTCTAAAAGCACGAATTTAAAGCTTCCTCAGCTAAGGAGACTGACGCTGCCACTTCACGATGGCTTCAAACCCGACATTCCCTCCTTTCCAGCTGACGGCTGAGACATGGGAGTCATACATGAACCGGTTCGAGTGTTTCCTGAACGCGATTGACCTGACAGAAGCCACCGACCTGAGGAAAAGATCCTATTTCCTGAGCTTCTGTGGAGCTGCTGTTTTTGATACAGCCTCCGCACTAGTATCCCCGCGCTCTGTGAAGGCTATTCCCTGGGAGGAGTTGCAGGGAATCCTGTCTAACCATTACTCCCCCAAGCCCTCTCAAATAGCTAGAAGGCTAGCTTTCAGATGGAGAGTTCAGGCCAAGGGGGAGACCATTAGTCAGTATATGGCAGCCTTAAGATCAGCTGCCATACACTGTGGCTTTAGAGATTACCTGGAAGATATGCTTCTTGATCAAATCGTAGGAGGGGTTAGAGACCTAAAGCTCCAGAGGCGATTACTAGCAAAAAAGGACTTAACTCTAGCCTTAGCCATAGAAGAAGCTCAGACTGCTAAGCTGTGTGAGCTGTCAGCAGCTGAGATTCAAGGGAATCCCATAAAACAAGGGAGCTCTACCATTCATTTTGATGAGGTTTCCCTAGATGAGGAACCGCTTGACGTAAACCGTCTCAGACAACCAAGACCCCCTCCAGAGATGCCAAGGAAAAACACCAATCCAGCAGCCAGACAGCAATCCAATTGTCTGAGCTGTGGGGGGGGGGGGGCACATCTCAGGTCAGCATGCAGATTCAGAAATGCCATCTGCCTGAACTGCCAGAAAAAAGGCCACATAGCTAGGGTATGCCCAGCTGAAACAACCTTCCCACAAAGACCGCAAGCCACTTCCTCCTTCCAAACGCAAGTTGAAGATTGCTACACCTGTTACCACTCAGACAATACCACCCCGGGGTCTAACAAAATAAGTATTTTTGTCTTTTTAGAAGGTAAGCCCTGCCGGATGGAGGTGGACACCGGGTCTGCCCTCTCTATCATCTCTTGGGCCACCCTGAAGAAGCTGCTCCCTACACTGTCCAAGAAGAAGCTGCTCAACTGCCATCTGACTCTTTGAGACTATCCGGGGAAGACCATTCCAGTCCTGGGGAAAGGCAAGTTCCTAATTCAATTCCAGAACTTTAGAGGCCACTTGCCTCTGGTGGTAGTAGATGGTGTCCTTCCTAGCTTGCTTGGGTTAGATTGGTTCCCTGCTCTTGGCCTTAGTATAACTGGGATTCACTCTGTTGTGACTACTGAAGTAGATACCCTATTTAGGGACTACGCTGATGTTTTTAGTGATGAGCTAGGGTGTTACTCCGGTACCCCTATCTCATTTGATGTAGGCCCACAAGCTACCCCCATTCATTTAAAACCTTGCAGAGTCCCTTTTACCATTTGCCCTAAATTGGATCTGGAACTAGACAAGCTAATTAAGCAAGGGGTACTAGAGCAAGTAGATTTCGCAAAAAGGGAGACGCCCATAGTCACCCCTCTTAAAAAAGACGGCAGCGTGCGAATCTGCGCAGACTATAAAACGTCCCTCAATCATTTCCTCCAAATTAGTGCATACCCAGTCCCCATAATCCAACACCTGTTGCACTCCTTTGAGCCAGGTACAATTTTCACAAAGCTAGATATGTCACAAGCATATCAGCAGTTTCCTGTAGACAAACATACTGCTGATTTGCAAACAATAGTTACCTACAGGGGCGCTTTTAGGTATAAGCGTTTACAATTTGGAGTTAGTGTGGCTCCTGGGATCTTTCAGTCTCTTATGGAGAGGATTCTCCAAGGACTCCCAGGCGTAGTCCCATACTTTGATGACATTTTGATCTCTGCCACCAACAAAACACAATTATTACTTAGATCAGATCAGTTCTTGACCGTTTCAGGCAGCATGGGTTAAAACTCAAGAAAGACAAGTGCACCATTGCCACTAAGCAAGTGGACTTCCTAGATTATCGAATTGACGCCTCTGGAATACAGCCTATAGAATCAAAAGTCAGGGCCATCCATGAGGCACCCACACCCTCCAACAAAATGGAACTACAAGCTTTCTTAGGGCTTCTGAATTTCTACGCAGCTTTCCTTCCTCACAAGGCATCTATAGCTGAACCTTTACATAGACTCTTAGATAAGAAAGCTCCCTGGCACTGGGGACAAAGAGAAGCTAATGCTTTCCAGGCAGTCAAATCCCTGCTAACTTCAAATGCAGTGCCAATTCAATTTAACCAACAGCTTTCCCTGGTTTTGGCTGCAGACGCTTCCCCCATAGCCTGCCAAATGGCTCTGAGGCCCCAATTGCCTTCTTCTCAAGAACCTTCTCTGCAGCTGAAAGAAACTATAGTCAAATTGATAAGGAAGCCTTGGCAGCAGTTGCTGCTATCAAAAAATTCCACAAATTCCTTTATGGTCATTACTTTGAGCTTATAACAGATCACAAGCCACTTTTAGGCCTTTTAGCAGGAGACAAGCAAACCCCACAGGTACTATCCCCGCGGATGACCAGATGGACCCTGTTCCTAGCCACCTACTCATATAAGCTGGTACATTGCCCGGGAAAGAACCTGTGCCATGCAGATAGATGCCCTCTACTGGTACCAGTGGAAGACCCCTTGCCCATCCATGCAATTTTTGATTGCAACGAACTCAACCTGCCCATCTCAGCCGAGGATATTGCTGCCCACTCCAGAAGGGACAAGGTAATCTCCCAAGTCCTGGACTGGGTGGGGAGGGGCTAGCCTGAAATTCAGTACACCCCTGAATTGATACCATTCAAGATCCGCAGGCAAGAGTTATCTTTACTACAGGGTTGCTTACTATGTGGGACAAGAGTGGTCATCTCCACTACACTACAAGAGCCAATTAATTGCCAGGCCACCCTGGCATCGTGAGGATGAAGGCTCTGGCCCATAGCTATGTGTGGTGGCCAGGCATGGATGCCCGAATCTCCAGCTGGGTAAGCACGTGCCAGCCATGCCAGGCGACTAGATCAGCACCACCAGCAGCTGCCCAAACCCGGTGGGAGGATGCTGGGGCCCCTTGGTCCCGGCTGCATATTGACCTGGCTGGCCCAGTGCATGGATGGACTTTTTTAGTCATAGTAGACTCGTTCTCTAAATGGATTGACGTAGCCTTGCTTCCCTCCACAATTACGCTGGCTGTCACAAGAGCCCTGACCAGACACGCATGGCCTTCCTGACACCTTGATATCTGATAATGGCCCCCAGTTCACCTCTTGTGAGTTTGAACTTTTCGCAGCCAACCTGGGCATAAGGCAGGCCCTCACAGCCCCTTTTCACCCTGCAAGCAATGGGATGGCTGAGAGGGCTGTTAGGTCTGTAAAGGAGGCCTTGGTAAGGTTTGGCCAAGCAGATTGGCACTCCAAACTGTCCACTTGCTCACCCAGCATTCTACTCCATGCACCACCACCAACAAGTCCCCTGCAGAACTATTAATGGGCAGACGCCTTAGGACCACCCTGGACAGGTTGCACCCCCATTATGCCCCTGGCACCCCTCTAGGCTCTGACAGCCATGCCAGGGGATTCTCCCTGCAAGACCTGGTTTATGCCAGGAATTATGCAGGGAACCCTCTATGGATGCCAGGGCAATTAGTTTCAATTACAGGGCCCATGTCCTACAGGAGCCTCCTGGAGGACGGTCGAGTATGGCACCGGCACATCGACCAGTTAAGGAGACGTTGGGAAAGAGCTGCCGTTGACTCCCAGGGGCCACCAGACGTACCGGTCTACCAGCCACATGCTGAAACCTACCCACCGAGCGAACCAGTCTACCCAGCAGTCACGAACAGTTCCCCGCCAGACGATCCAGTCTACCCGCCGAACCCCGAGCCGTTCCCGCAGCGAGCCGGACACTCGGGCAAGGGCATCAGAGGACCAACATTGAGCTCCTACAGCTTCAAGCGAAACCCTGGAGGCGAGAGACTCCTTGCAAGCAAGCGAGTCCCTAGGACTGCGGCGATCTGGCCATGAGCGAAGGCGGCCTACCCGGCTGCAGGACTACGCATGCTCCTGGCCAGGGGAAAGGAGTGTTGTGTTCATAGACTGACAGCGGTCCTCACTCTGGTCCGCCACCCGGGTGGGAGCACCAATCACTCCCATTGGCTGATGCCGTTTGACAGCCGGCTATAAAAGGAGCTGTCAAACAGCATCAGCTGTTGCCGCCAGCTGACTGCCAGTTAGCCCCGGCAGCCG